CGCGTCTTCTCTTTTGATTTCAGCAAAGTTTTTGACACGGCACCGCACGAGATTTTATGCAATAAGCTGAAGAATTCGCCTATTAGCCCCTATATTACCAATTGGATCATCAATATCCTAATCAATAGGTATCAACGAGTCGTTGTTAATGGCGTTAAAACAGAATATTTGCCTATAAATCGTGGAGTTCCTCAAGGAACAGTATTAGGTCCAATACTGTTTTCTATAATGATTAATGATATCCGTCCTGTTCAAGCCTCAAACTTAATTGTTAAATTTGCAGATGACATAAATCTAGGGATTAAGGTCACTGATGATAGTGACGCTTCTTATATGGAAACAAACAATATTATCAACTGGGCGGAAACAAATCGCATGAAACTTAACTATAAAAAGACGTGGGAGATGGTCATTCGCGGCAAGATAACCCGGCCACTTCCTGCGCCTTTGCCTATGATTGTTCGTAAAAGTTGGTTGAAGATACTTGGTGTAACGTTTCAAGAGAATCCTTCCATGTGGGACATGCATCTAGATGAATTAATGAGTGAAGCCTGTAGCAGAATGTACATTATTCGGATTTGCAAATACTACGGGTTTTCTAGGAAAGAGCTTGATCTTCTGTTCCATAGTCTTATTTTATCAATATTAGTTTTTGGTGTCGAGGTCTGGGGATGTGCGTCGTATTCTAAGTATCTTAGTCAAGTAGATAAACTTTTAAAACGTGCATATAAGTATGCATGATATCTTATGTATCAGGTATCGATTGTTGATATATTAAACAATAAAGACAGAGATTTATGGGAGAAAATAACTACGGATCCCAACCATGCCCTGCAAGTTTTGTTGCCTCCTAGTCGTCAATTAGAATTACGCAATCGCGGACATGAGTATGAACTGCCGAGAGTTCGAACCGAAAGGTTTAAAAGAATGTTCGTTAATAGATGTCTTTTTAACTTCATATGATATTTTTTAAATTAGAAATTAACTTCTTAGGAACTACATTAAACATTATAATAATGGTATTTTAGCTCCATTAATGAACAATATCAATACTAATACAGTAATTAGTACAATAATTATTGATAAGTAAGTGCAAATTGTAAGCCCGCACGTTTGTTGTGAGGTGTTGCTTTTAATATTTTAATAAAGATTTATAATAATAAAGAAAGATATGTAAAGAAATGGGCAAAAGACATTTGAGGATCAGAATTGTACACGTTAGTAGTTCCATTTTGCTCAACACACAATATTTTTTCAAAAATAATTACAAGATAGGTTTACTAAAGCAAAATCCGCACTAAAAACGTCAATAAATATCGGGCTGTTGTGTTTTTGCTGTTACTCGTAATGAGCGTCAAGATGGCGCCATATTGGGGTAAAGGTGCTATATTGTGATTGTCATATCTTCTTAACGAGTTCGGTGACCCCGACTTTTTTGTGTGATTTTACTTTAAGTGTATCATAAACTCCATGCCTGGGAAGTTCAACACATTCTCATTTCGGGAACAATTACTGCGGAATTACCTTAATGCTTTCCTTTCTCCGGGTGTAAATAGCCCACCTGCTGACGTATATGTGTAGGAGTACGGTTCGAGATCGATGTTTCGGCGGCGGCCATTGTGAAGCGATTTGAACAAATTTCAGACGAAGATTTAAATAAAAAATAAATTAACTGTTTTTAATTGTTTTAAAATTATTATTTGTATTGAAAGTGGAAGAGAAAAAAGATGGCCGCCGAAATTTGTTCGGCACTGGCAGGTTTATATAAATCTTGGCAATGTTTTCGCAAAATGTGTGCATTTTGTCTTTTCAAGAATAAGAGAATATTGTAGAGAATTTTTTTAGCTTCAATTTAAGCATACGTTTGTTTGTTTGCGGAGTATGTTCGCGGCTAAAATGTTCGTTATCCAAACAAGAAATCATATACTAAAATGCGTAAATTCTTCAGTACTTTTTACCGAAATGGCATGTGATAAAACCAAACATACTTGCAGGTTCGGCGAGTCCAGGATTGGACGCACCTTGGGTGGCTGGAAGTTTCCCGAACCCACCTTGCTTCGCTCAGTGTGTTCTGGAAACTTTCAGCCACCCTCAGTGCGTCAAATCCCGGACTCACCTCTTTGCAAGTATGTTTGTTATAGTATCTCCCCTCCATGTTAAACATAATTTTTAGTGATCCCCCTAAACTACAGACTTTCAATAGAAACCAATTATCATGACCCCCTTCCAAATAAAACAATTGCTTAACATTGTTTTAACTTCAATTTGTGTAAATCAAATATTGTACCGATAAAGACTGCAGATGCTTGTTTCAACTTTTGATTTATGTCCAGAATCTGAGAAAACTTAATCGCCGACCAGGGAGTGTCTTAGCTTTGCAAATTTCTTAGAGTGCATGCCCACCTATGCGAATCGGATATTTCAAGTAGGTGTGATGTTTTCAGGGGCGCCGGAGCCACGGGGGCAGCGGGGGCAGCTGCCCCCGTTGCCTAAAGAGTGCGGGGGCAGCACGGGGGCAGCAGGTTGCCTTTTTTTTACCAGAACTGCACTTCGGAACGTCGTGCGTTTTTCACATGAATTGAAATTGAAAACTGTTTTTAAACAATTTAGCTCCTATTTAAATATGAATTCCTCTCAGAAACGTTACCAATATTATCTGCTTTACCAATGCTTATCTGAGCTTCAAGAAATCCAAAATTTTCTGGGTGGGGGCATGCCCCCAAACCCCCCTAGAGGCTCCCATCTTTGGTGGTCGACTCGGTTGTTTCAGAATCCTAGGTATGGCCTGATTTGTTGCCCTATGGAGTATACTTATATGTTAGTTAAACCGTGCATATGTGCTGCAGGTAGCTGCAGCGACACCATATTTCTATGAGCGACACAGACTTGCCGACTGGAACTTCTCCAGGTCCCCCGCTAAATATGTCATCTCCAGATACACATCCTGCAGAG